GATGCTGGCGAAACGTTAGGAAACAAAACTTCCAGAACACGGCCACACAGCCCGGAAGACCCACACCAGCCAACATATTCCGGCCGTGAAAGCCTTCGACAATACCCCTTCTCTCCCTTTGCGTGGCCCTGGAACTTTCTCCAGGGACAGCCTTTCAGCCTTTACAAAACTGGAATTGTGCTCTGTCCGCAGCCACATCAGCTCAGCCTGTGGAATTTGTCCCCTGGAGAAGACCACAGGCTGCTGGAGAGAAGGTGCCAGTGGTCTCCCTTGTGAGCAGACAAGCAGCCTTGGACCTCTCCTTAGATGCCTGAAATGTTCATCTTTAAGTCCTGCTCCAATTAGGCAGAGCACTGGGAGGGCTGAGGGTTTAGAGGAGGAAAAGGGGGGAAGATGTAGGGTTATCCCTTCCTTCTCTCTTTCTACAGTTCAACTCACCATCTTTTTCAGCCATTTCAAAAGCAATCAGTCATCAAAGCTGCTCGGCTGTCTGTTTGGAAAGCCAGCTCTTCAGGCTAAGGGGCCTTTGGGATCAGTCTGCAAGTCCTAAGGGCAGAAAGGAAGAATGATAGAAGTCTCCTTTTCTCAGACTTGGTAGAGCAGACTTAATGGTGCAGGCCAAAATCGACCGGTATTCCTTTTATAGCTCACAAAATTCCACCTGAGTGCCAGGGCTAAAACTTTTACCATTTCTTTTTTTCAGTTGTCAGGTTTTTGTTTTTGTTTTAGTTTGGGGGACGGTTCTAGAGCAAAATGGATGCCTTACGCTTTGCAGAAGTTTCAGGGGATTACTTTACCCCCCATTGCATGAACTTTTGGGAGTCTCTTTCACATGCTGCATAAAACAAGGGGGAGCCCTTGAGTTAATGGAAGTTGGGCAACCTTGGGGTAGAAGGACATCTAGGGCGTAGGGTGTTAGTTTACACCCTGCGGCAAATAGTAATAGAGGTGTAACCATGGTTTAAAAGGCTGCCCCCTGGTGCAAGAGCTGAAGATGATGAGACGGGAGGGATACTGCAATTCTGAATGCAGGCAGAATTTTTATCTAAATCTGGCACAGATAGACAAGGTAGCCCTCCACAGGCACATAGAGATAAACAACATCTACACACTACTCAAAAGAGACAATAAAAAGGAAACAAAAGACCAGAACATCTCCTCAGCAGCAATCA